GACACCCATTAGAAGATATTTCATGCTTAACATCTAAGGTCTAGCTGGTCAAGTTTTTTTCTTTACACATATAGTTAAAAACAATGACACACCTGGGGCAGGGCCAGTTTGACCCAAGGGCTTTTATTTGAACAATCTTTGTAGACACTTACTAGAAAATGTTTCATGCTTAATATCTAAACTCTAGCTATTTGAGTTTTTTTTCAAAGAAGACTTTTAAGTTTTTGCTATACACATACAAGGAAAATCAATGTCAGCCGGGCGGGGCCAATTTTGACCCCAGGGGCTTTTATTTTTGAACAAAATTTGTAGACACTCACTAGAAGATGCTTCGTGCTTAATATCTTACTCTAGCTATTTGAGTTTTTTTTCAAAGAAGATTTTTTAAAGTTTTTGTATAACACATATAAGGAAAAGGAATGACCCCGGGGCTGGCCAATTTTGACCCCAGGGCTTTTATTTGAACAAACTGTGTAGACACTCACTAGAAGATGTTTCATGCTTAGTATCTAAACTCAAGCTATTTGTTTTTTTTCAAAGAAGATTTTTTAGTTTTTGCTATACACATATAAGGAAAATCAATGACCCCGGGGGGGGGTGGGGGGGGGGGGGGGGGGGGGGGCAATTTTGACCCCAGGGCTCTTATTTGAACATACTTGGTAGACATCCATTAGAACATGTTACATGCTAAATATCTTAGCTCTAGCTCTTTGGGTTCTTTAAAAGAAATTTTTTTAAGTTTTTACTATATGCATATAGGGAAAATCAATGACCCCCTGGGGCGGGGCCAATTTTGACCCCAGGCTTTTATTTGAACAAACTTGGTAGACATCCATTAGACATGTTTCATGCCAAATATCTAAGCTCTAGCTCTGTGGGTTTTTTAGAAGAAGATTTTTTTAAGTTTTACTATATGCATATAGGGAAATCAATGACCCCCTGGGGCGGGGCCAATTTTGACCCCAGGGCTTTTATTTGAACAACTTGGTAGACACTCACTAGAAGATGTTTCATGCCAAATATCTAAGCTCTAGCTCTTTGGTTTTTTAGAAAGAAGATGTTTAAAGTTTTTTCTTTTGGTTGCCATGGTAACCAGAGTTCTGCATGGAATGGAATTCTTTGAACAACTTTGTTAAGGCTTCACACAAGGAACATCCCTGTGAAGTTTCATTATAATCTGCCTTATGGTTTCAGAGGAGATGTAGTTTGAAAAGTGTGAACTGACAACGGACAACGTACGAAGAGTGATCCTAATAGCTCACCCTGAGCATATGCTCGGGTGAGCTTAAAATATTCAAGTTATTTCACATCCAATCCAACTGTAAAACTTAGTCTTAAATGCATATCCTTTACTGGCTTATTTTATGCAGAATTTTAAATAAAAGAAACAAAGCTTCAAGTATCCTGAATTTGCCTGACAGATGCCGGAATGAAGAAACTGCATTTTTCACACTTTATGCTATGTTCTGCCTAAACTATATTAATTTAATTATGATGTGAAAATACTGTTTTTCAATCTTCTATCAAAATAACTACGCAATGTATGGAAAAGCATTTTACAATATGAATCTTGATGTATTCAACCTTTAACTTCTACACGAACTTTATTACCTTTTTTAGGTTCAAGCACAAGACCTCCGGCGTATGCTGGTTTACGACGACCTTGACCTGCCTTAGATTTACTTGAATCTATTTCCTCATCTCCTTCCTCTACTTGCTGTACAAATATAAACATCTAATATTTTAACTTGAACCAAAATGTAGTCATAATAAACATGGCATTCACACCCTTTCTATACAAACTATAAATGTTCACTACAAATAGTTTTGTTTTTTGTTGTATATAATTTGACCTTTAAAGCTTAAATAAGGATCACAATTTTTTTCGAAAGCTCAAAATAAAGCTCTTGTGCGGAGATATGTTATATTCAGGGGCTAGGCTTCATAGAATGAAGATGTAATTTGCTTATGCTTAAATAGGCAGAACAAAACAGGCAAGAAAACTATGAAACTTTCACAGAAATTTATATTTAAATTTACATGACTACTGTCTACAAAGAATTATTCCACCAAATGCAGTTAGTCAAACATACATCTACACTCATATATAAGTTACATGACAAATGAACCAGATGTTAATCATAAAATTTATCTGATTCCCCAATCTTAACACATTTTCATCTAGTTTAATTTCATAAAAAAAACATCTAAATAGAATTGTACAATACTGACAAGTTTAGATATTTATTATTATAACATTAAAACCTTATCTTCATTGAAAATAACTATAACTTGAAATCAATTTTCTAATTATATTCAAATACCTGAATCAACATTATACTCACCACTACAGCTTTTTTCTTGTATTCTTTGTCGGACAAGGGGAATTTTCTCGGAGAAACAGCAAAAGAAGGATTTATTTCCTCTCCCTGCCTCCAAAAATTCCTACTCTATAAAATTTTTATAAAAAATATCTTAATTTTAGTTTTTATCAGAATTTAAATTTGGGGGATTGTCTCCCCCTCAATTTTAAAAAAGTGGGGGGCTTGAAAAAATGGGGACAAAATTTACCTTTTTAATATGACATACCGAAAAAAATTTCATTTAAAACTTTTCGGGGCATTTTTGAAAAGCTATCTTTCGCCCCAAAAACCCGGAAAATAGAAAAAAAAAAATATTGACAAATTTATTTAAAAAAACACCCGAGGTAAACTTAGGGGGGGCTGTTTAACATGCGATTGGGTTATTTTAGTAATAACCATAAAGGGGAAAACAAACATGGCTGACGCTTTTAAGATCCCGATGAAGAAAAACTGAATTAAATTGAAAATATTGTCAGATGCGCGACTTGGCGCGCACTGACTTCATTTAAATGCGCGATCTGCATAAAAAATGCGCAAATCGCTCAATCGCGCGGCCTAGATGCAACACTGTTAATTTCATGAAATGAAAAACAGAAGCCTGAAAGGTGTCTTTAATACAAGCATATACAAATATATACATATTTGTACAACAGAATTCCACACCTGCCACAGATATTTTTGGCTGATTTTCATGCCAATATAAAATTGATTCATATTTTTCTTGTTTTGGATAAAATTCTCAATCAAAGTAGGTGGGCCAGAGGTGGTCAATGTGGTAAAATGTGTGACCTTTTTTGTAATATATATTTCTATTTAAGTCTGTAGGACAGTACGCTTGATTATTCTCAGTGCTTGATAGTAAAACAATAGCCTGGATAAAGTTAAATTTTGTTAGTTAAAAAAAGGGTCACTTCTCTTGGGAATCATGTTAAAAGAGTTTTTGGCCATATTATATCGATATTTTGTTAATATTCAGCTGTATATCAATACAAAATTTTCCATCAATGACAGCCCTACTTATTCTTCACATCACTGTGTAATAATACAATTGACTGCTCAGTCTATTTTATAAGGAGATAGTGTGAAAAGTATAAGAGTTACATACCATGACATTTCCACATATTGATGTAATCTGTAAGGCAAGAGGTATGACGTTCAACTCGTACATTATCTTCAATATATGACTCGAGTCCACCAATGTCATCTCTATCAGCTTTAACAACATCTCTGAATTACTGCAAGAAAAATACACCATCATAATGTAAGACAATGAGCCGCTTCACGACAAAACCAACATAATGGGTTTGCGACCAGCATGGATCAGGATCCATGCTGTTCCCTATCAGTTTCTCTATTTGTAATAGAGTTTGTTAGCGAACAGCATGGATCCTGATCAGACTGCGCAGATGCCCAGGCTGGTCTGGATCCATGCTGGTCGCAAACCCATTATGTTGGTTTTGTCATGACACAGCTCAAATCTTCTTCCCCCAAAATTGGATAAAAAGTTGTTCTTTTTTATACAAAGTTATTACTCCTCTAACCTTACTTTCAGGTTATACTGATGTCGAAGACATGACAGTATATCCCTATTAACACTTTCACTGCATTCAAGATGAGTAAAATCTTTTCTCTATGAAGCTTTAATATTCATGATTAGTATATGAAAATGTCATCTGACTTTTTTTCATTATTTTTCTCCATTTTTTCTTTACATAATATTTAAAAGATTAAATATGTTGTAATTTTTAATTTCCTTTATTTTCTTCCATAAAAGAGATAGGATTTGTTTAGTATATGAAAGCATACTTACTTGAATTTGACTATTTCTTTTGCAATTTAAATAATTTCTATGGCAAAGGCAAATTAATTGTTAATGATAAAGCATCTAAAAGCTGAAGAATTATAAGGTATATAGTACTGGCCTACCTGTACATATTTCTGATGGTTTCAAAATCCAGATCAACGCGAGACTGTTTAATAATCTGTGAAGTTAGCTCAGTCAAGTCAAAACTCTTTAATCTCACAAGTTCCTTCGCTGAGATTTTAATATCACATACAATACGTCCACACGTCGCTGATTTGTCTACATATCCTCTACCAGCATGACTCTGTAAAAACAAGATTATCTGTTACAAAATTTCAAAGAGGCACACTGTTAGGGTCATAAAACTTATCTATAAGCTTTCCTGGTGCAGTGGTCTGCCTCACTGTTTAATGAAAATCAGCATTGTCTAATATTATTTCATTAAATTACTTGTGATAGTAAGTCAAACTGAACAATTTTTTCGCACTAACACAGTACATGTATAGGTCATATGGAGACTTTCAATGAACTCAAGTGCCCTTGTACATTATTTTAGGCACAAGCCTGCACCTGGGTAGAATAATCAATCTCACATGAGTTAACTGCATAGCTCCCTTGCATGTAAGAATTTCAAAGTCCCTCATGGTATTCATACCTTACACAGTGAGACACAAGTTATAAAACAAGGATTAAATTTCAAAGAAAGTGGGAAGAAATATGAGCTATTCATAGAAAAACTAGGATATCTAACATGCTGTTTTGGACCATCAGTAAAACTTCCATCCAATCTGAAGAAACTCTTTACTGTACTAGTCAATTTTATCGTTAATTTTTATGACAAAATCCATATTTGCAATGGACAGTTTCAAAATAAGTCAGTAAAAATCCATTAAAAAACTTATTCTTCAAAAATTAAACAATCTACTTACAGATAGTTTTGGCATCACAGTTCTTTTCAATCTTCCTATCTTTGACCAGTGTGGTATTTTGTTAGCATTTATTCTGTGTAATAATACATCCAGGTCATATCCAAATATATCATGACCCTGAAAAATATACTTACATCTGTTACAGGAGATGGTAAATAGCTCTTACCACAAATGTATGTACTTCACAAATACTGCTACAAATCTACAAGTAGCCCTTTGATAAAAGATTTATTTTTGATTGAGGTATAAGCATTTTGACAAAGTCTTCATACTGACTCCAGTTTATTAGCAGGGATTTTATATTTATCTGAACCTGAAAACAACCAAGTTGGCTAGTGGTCAACGGGGATATCTTAATCTACAGGCTAAAATTACAACTGATTTTAATAGCATTTCAACCGATGATATGGATTGCAAATCTATTAATAATGAAAAACCTGTTATTACTTATTAGTGGAAGCAAAACAAAGATAATTCTCAATATATTATTTCAGTCAAAAATATGCATTTTGGTAGAACCACTGTCCCAATGAAATACTTATATGCAACCTCTAGATTTCAATATTTGTATATTTAGAAAACTCTTGATAATGCCATTAAGAGACTAAGTTTATTAAAAAAAAATTATTCTGTCATATAAACACCATTTTTAACATATTTTTTTTCTTTTACAACACTTTACTTACCACTATAACATCAGCATCAATCTTGTGTATTTTAGCCAATAAGAACCCCAGTAGAGCCCTTTCTGTAGGTAATACTTCAACTTTCATCTTCTTACTCTAACAATGGAATATATATAATAAATAATCTGAATTCTGAGAGGTTGTTCAAATTAGACATAAACTGCCAATATCAGTGCCAGGCGAATAAAAAGTTCTTAGAGTTAACACTGGTAGCTGCTTAAATATTAATAGTTTCATTTCTCTTATATTCTAAAAAACTTCTTTAAAATCCATAGTTTTTATTAATTTGGTTTAGTTTGATTATCCTGTACGCCATTAGCCATTAGCTTATTAAAGCACTCACAAATCTGTTCCTGGAACCAAGCAGTACTAAGCCACTGAGTGTAGTTTCATGCTCATGAAAATAATGACTTAACCCTGACAAGAGTTTCAACCCCTTAAATTACTAATAAAATTTAATGTAATTTTATCATTTTATGTACCATTAAATTTTGTAAGAATAAAAAGGACTGAACAATTTACAAAGTTATGAAGTTGCAATCAAACAAATTCACAGTAACAAGACTTATCCAATCAAGAGATTTCAAAAAAGAATTATTCTAACTAAATATCAATTAGTGATGTAGTTAAATTAAGAAATATTTTGTGTATATCTCAGTCTTACACTTTCTATATTGAGAGGAGCATACCACATATGCTTGCAATACAGTAAGGTTATTTAAATCATGTAGATTACACATCAAAATCTCCTCCCCCCTCGGGTACTGGGTTTTATAATCACTATTTTCAACTAGATTAGTTCAGGAAAACTCAAGATCTTCTACATAAATATTTCAGACAGGAGTAGGCACCAGAGTCTAACCATAAACCTTTCCATATGCTAGCATATCTGCTCTTATCATGTCAGTTAACTTACTTCTCGTTGAACTTTGTCCTTGAAGTCCCAGGGAAATATGCAGTCATTTGGCTTACTGATAACTGAAACATAATTGAAAAATGAGCCGTGTCATGACAAAACCAACATAATGGGTTTGCGACCAGCATGGATCCAGACCAGCCTGCGCATCCGCGCAGTCTGGTCTGGATCCATGCTGTTCGCAAACGCACTATATTGGTTTTGTTGTGACACGGCTCAAATGTTTTCAGAGCGATGGTTAATTATCGTGTTATTCTAAACACTTTGATAAATTTATGTGCTGAAAATTTTATAAATTTGAGTGCACATTTGATTTTCATCTGGTCATAATCTTAAATTAACTTTCATTGAGTGTAAAATTTAATCATAGACAGAACTTATTTAAGGTAATAGCAAATAAGCGCACAAATAGGGCATGACAGGGGGACAGTAAAGGATATTAAATCATGTTAGATTATATGAATCATCCAATTATTTTTAAAAAAATGTCTAACTTCGAAACAAAATCCACTTATTATACATATTTATCAGTAATAGTTACCACAGAAATGTTGCTGGAAAGCTGGTTCTGGGGCAGGTTTATCCATATGGAAAGAATTGTGGATCAGACACGACACAGCTACAATCTGAGGAATAAAATAACACAATCATTACATCAGAGAACATTAAAGAGATCCACATTTTACTAATTCCTGCTGGAAAAAAAACCCAACTCTGTTAAGTCTTCAACAAGCCCAAATCTTTCGTGCCTAGTTTGTATCATTGCATTTCATTAGACAAACATGTTTATACAATCTAAATCAATAGTTGCTGCAAATTTATGAAAATAATTTGTTAAGAAATCAAAGAAAGCAATTTACAATGTTTAGTAATATATATTCATCATGAAAGATTTAGACAGAATTTATGGTTGTGAATATATGATTAGCAATATATATAACTTACAACAATTTATACTTCATCAAACAACTAACAAAATTTTTGGTACCATAAGCAATGGAACACTTTAAATCTAGAAAATAGACAATATCCCCTAAGTTGGAGAAAATATAGATATTTTAGCAAGATAAATCAGGTATACTGCTTGTTGGGACATACAACTGTTTATGTTTAATTTACCTCATTTTGATGGGTTTTATTGTTGGGTAGAGTTCTCATATTCATCGTCATAATTGTAAGAGGTGGTGGGGTAAGATTTTGATCTGTGCATACAGTAACCCCATCTGGTCCTGTCACAAAAACCTGAAAAATATAGAACTACAAATGACAACCTGTATATTGTTAGGAAAAAATAGTTCACTGACTCAAATTACTGAAATGAAAGTTACCTAGTGAGTGTTTCTGGGATTTGTAACTTTAATAAACTTTGTTTTTACAAATAAAATATGTCAAATAAGGTAAACATCAAAATTTTATATTTTGATGCACTGGTAATTGATGACAGAAATAAGAAATATTGTCATCAAGGAAATAATAGGAGACTTTATATGCTAAAGAATAGCCTATAGAAAGTCAATTTTTAAATCGTGATTTAAAGAGTATTTTCTTTGCAACAGAAAGTAAAAGAGCATTCATAAGAATTACTTACCTCCAACTTACACCAACTAACAGGAGGGTTCGTTATTTCTGGAAATAAAGTACAATACAATCTATAAAATACTCAACTAAATGTTACTTTATTCATTATTAAATGTTATTGACAACCTAAGCTTTCTATGAAAAAGTTAACATATAAAATGTATGCCAACAAAGTTAAATATAGCTTTTAAGGTTCCCTCCAAATGAGTCAAAATACTTCAAGAAAATCAAACACAAGAAAAATGTACTAAGATTTTAAGAAAAGTAAAATGATTTAGGATACAAGTAATAATTTACAAGTTATGTGTGATTAATGACCAATTTTGTATTGCTCATATCCATATTTCTACTGCCTGAATAATGCAGTAAGGGCTAATTTTGCATAGTTTTACCTCTTTTTGGTAATTAACATTGACTGTAAGCGCCATTTTCATTGAGTAAATTACTTCCTTTTTTTCACTTCACAATATTTTACTTTCACATACATTTTTCAAAATTTTCAATTAAGTTAGCATGAATATGGAGGTTTGCTGCTTTAAGATTACATTAATAATTTGTTTTATCTTCATAATTTATTTTTTAGTATAATTTAGCAATTATTTATAAAGAGGTTACTTACGTGGACATTTGATATCTAACCAACCAGGACCTTTCATCTTCCTATCTATTAACAATCTTTCCAAGCTGTAAAGACAAGCATACTCTATGTCAGCAACACAAACAATGAGACAGTTTGTTTGTTTCATTTTACGCCTTTTTCCAACAGTATTTCAGTCATATAGGTGGGTAGTTTCCTAACCATCGCTCCTGGAGAGTTACACCAGTACTAGACTACCTTCCTCCGTGCTAAATTACCAAAGCATCTCCCGGGGATCGAACCCACCCCAGAGAGGTAACTGGATTAGAAGTCATCGACTCTAACCCCTCTACCACGGAGGCCGTACAACATTTAGACAGGTTCTTAGTTTAAACACAATTGATATAAGTTATAATAATATAAACATAATAATACAAACATAATATAAGTCATACGTTGACTCTCAGCTTTACTGGCGGAGAAAAACCTCAGGTGACCTTCTGTTTATTATTTCAGGCACAGATGGGCACCTCGAAAGTACCACCAAAGTTCCAAAAGCAAACTGGATAGCTTCCTCACATGAAAGAATCCGAAGTCCCTGTCGGGATTGGAAACACACAATGGTAAGGGGCAAGTGGTTTGAAGTTAACGACCTTAAGCACTTGGACACTTCCTCACATTAAAGAATCCAAAAGTCAATGTCAGGATTGGAAACCCACAGTGAAGAGGGGCCAGTGGTTTGAAGTCAAAGACCTTGATCACTCGGATGCCGACGCCCCATTATTTAAGCATGTGAAGAATTCCCGTAGTTCATAAATATCTTTCTTAAGTCTACTTTCTCTACTTCATGGGACTAACCAGTTCTGGTGAAGTATGATGAACCATGGTTTGAACACATGACCCCTGGACTGAGTGGCATCCACTTTAAGCAGTTGGCTTAAAACTTCAAATCTACAGTTGAAGTTGTTGATCACGATTCAATTAAATTGTGTGCAGTTCCATCATACCTCTGCAGAATAATTTTTGTACAAGTTATTATGATAAAACATACATTGTAGGGTCTATTGAAGAACATTATGATTCAATGAGGCTTATGACCCTTAAAACCTTGCTCAAGTTAGGCAGTCATATATCATTTATCTATGTAAAAACTGGATCTTTAATTCAAACAAAATGATATCTATCACAGTAATTACCTAGAAGTATTGGTCCCAAAAACATGACTGAATGTCTCTCCTTTAAGATCCATTGGTAACACTGGCCCATCTGCCTGAAAAAAAAAACCCACAGGAATCATTAAAGACCAATCATGCCCCAGAAATGCTTTTTTATATTTCTCAAAAGTTTTTTTATTTGGTATCTTGCTAGGTTCCAAAAAAGTCACTCAATGGCCAATTAACTAATCATACTTTGCTTCTGTTGCTATCTGTGAATAAGTATAGTTATAGTGATTTAATACTATGTATGGAAGTCAAAATAAGACTTTGTTTACATTTTGCTACTGTTATGACCAATAATTTTACATGCAGGGCTAGTTACTTCAGGTGATAAGTACCTATCATGCTCTAAATTCATTACCAAAACATAATAAAACAATAAAACTCATCTCTGCTCTTACTAAATATAGAAAAAACAAGATATGTTTGTAAAACATGTATGCCCCCTATCAGCAGCCAATTAGTTATGTGAAAAGGTTATTATGCATGACTTCTGACCCAGTGATCAAACAATTAATAAGGGTTATCAAGTATCTACTGGTCATGACCTTAACCTTTGACCCCTTGACCCAAAACTCAATAGGGGTCATCTGCTGGTCACGACCAATCATCATACAAAGTTTGAAGTTCCTAGGCCTAAGCGTTTTTAGTTAATTGATCGGAAACCGTTTTAACATACAAGGTCAATGTGACCTTGACCTTTGACCCCTTGACCCCAAAATCAATAGGTCATCTGCTGGTCATGACCAATCACCATACCATGTTTGAAGTTCCTAGGCCAAAGGGTTCTTAAGTTATTGATTTGAAAGCATTATTACCTACAAGGTCAATGTGACCTTGCCCTTTGACCCCTTAACCCCAATATCAATAGGGGTCATCTACTGGTCATGACCAATCATCATACCAAGTTTGAAGTTCCTAGGCCTTAGGGTTCTTTAGTTATTGATTGGAAACCGTTTTTACCTAAGAGGTTAATGTGACCTTGACCTTTGACCCCTTGACCCTAAAATCAATAGGGGTCATCTACTGATCATGACCAATCACCATATCAAGTTTGAAGTCCCTAGGCCTAAGGGTATTTTTGTTATTGATCGGAAACCGTTTTTACCTACAAAGTCAATGTGACCTTGACCTTTGACCCCTTAACCCCAAAATCAATAGGGGTCATCTGCTGGTCATGACCAATCACCATACCAAGTTTGAAGTTCCTAGGCCTAAGGGTTCTTTCGTTATTGATCGGAAATCGTTTTTACCTACAAGGTCAATGTGACCTTGACCTTTGACCCCTTAACCCCAAAAATCAATAGGGGTCATCTGCTGGTCATGACCAGTCACCATACCAAGTTTGAAGTTCCTAGGCCTAAGGGTTCTTTTGTTAATGATCAGAAACCGTTTTTACCCAAGAGGTCAATGTGACCTTGACCTTTGACCCCTTGACCCCAAAATCAATAGGGGTCATCTACTGATCATGACCAATCACCCTACCAAGTTTGAAGTTCCTAGGCCTTAAAGTTCTTTAGTTATTGATCAGAAACCGTTATTGCTTACAAGGTCAATGTGACCTTGACCTTTGACTCCTTGACCCAAAAATCATTAGGGGTCATCTACTGATCATGACCAATCACCATACCAAGTTTGAAGTTCCTAGGCCTTAAAGTTCTTTAGTTATTGATTGGAAACCGTTTTTGCTTACAAGGTCAATGTGACCTTGACCTTTGACCCCTTGACCCCAATATCAATAGGGATCATCTACTGATCATGACCAATCACCATACCAAGTTTGAAGTTCCTAGGCCTTAAGGTTCTTTAGTTATTGATCGGAAACCGTTTTTGCTTACAAGGTCAATGTGACCTTGACCTTTGACCCTTTGACCCCAAAATCAATAGGGGTCATCTACTGGTCATGACCAATCACCATACCAAGTTTGAAGTTCCTAGGCCTTAACGTTCTTTAGTTATTGATCGGAAACCGTTTTTGCTTACAAGGTCAATGTGACCTTGACCTTTGACCCCTTGACCCCAAAATCAATAGGGGTCATCTACTGGTCATGACCAATCACCATACCAAGTTTGAAGTTCCTAGGCCTGAGGGTTCTTTAGTTATCACTCGGAAACCATTTGGTCTACGGACCGACAAGTGCAAAGCAATATACCCCCTTTTCTTCGAAATGGGGGCATAATTATTTGTTTCCGAGGCACAGAATGCCTTCAAACAATTCCAATGATGTTTAATATAACAAGGTATACTTTGAAAATACAGTCATTTTCATCTATAGAAATATAGAAATTTTGATCGGTTTGTCCATATTTTACACATGTTACTGCTTATTTGAGCAGTCAAAAATATGACATTATATACATTCTTCAATTCCGCCTGAAAAACAACTTCAGTTTTCAGATTTTTTTTACATAAGATTTACATAAAGGGAAAATTACACAAATGTGCTTTTATGGTTTTGTTTGTTTCATTTTACGCCTTTTCCCAACAGTATTTCAGTCATATAGGCGGGTAGTTTCATAGCCATCGTTCCTGGAGAGTTACACCATTACTAGACAACCTTCCTCCGCGCTAAACTACCAAACATCTCCCATAGATCGAACTCACGCCAGAGAGGTAACTGGATTAGAAGAGATTGACTCTAACCCCTCGACCACGGAGAGGCGGTAAACTGTATCATCCTTAATGAATACATGAAGTTTTATTCACAGTTGTCATGAGGACTCAAGACACAATTCTGGGAAAACAACTTTACATGATCAACACAAGTGCTACAAGTTGATCAGAAAATCACAATTGAGCAGTACTGCAGTTACTTTTTTTCTCCAATTTCAAAACAAGATTGCATTTGAGAAAAATGCTATGCCACCGCAATAATACAACACTAAATAGTAGTGTAGGAACAGATTTTTTTGTTTCTAAACAATTGAAGATTGTCATAATGCATATCTAATTCTTATTATCAGATTAGTGGTTAAATCTATTGTTAACTCAATAAAAGATCAGAGTAGGAATATATCAATGCACTTGAGTCTAGTGAAATTGGTGGTGAAGGTCATATTTCACACAGCCTAAAATTTCATGACTGCTTCAAAGGACAACATGTAATTCACTTTGTCAAAATTTAGGTCAGCTGATATCAAAGTTCACTTTTAATTTTGACACTAGAGGCAAAATTTGAACAACTTTGGTAGAGTACCTATAGATGATATCATTTAACAAATATTAAAGCTCTAAGCCTTGTACCTTCAGACAATAAGATTTTTTTAAATTTTTACTATATGTATATATTGAAAATCAATGACCCCGGGGCGGGGGCAATTTTGACCCCAGGGCTATTATTTGAACATTCTTGCTAGAGGTTCACTTCACAATGTTTCATGCAAAGTATCTAACCTCTAGCACTTGTCAATTGCTAGAAGAAATTTTTTTAGAGGTTTTACTATAAGTTTTTACTATGTAAATATGAGGAAAATCAATGACCCCAGGGGCCGGGCCGATTTTGACCCCAGGGCTATAATTTGAACAATCTGGGTAGAGGTCTATAAGACAATGCCTTATGCAAAATATCTAAGCTCTAGGCCTTTTGGGTCTTTACAAGAAGGTATTTTAAATTTTTACTATATGTACATATAGTGAAAATCCATGACCCCCGGGGCAGGGCTGATTTTGACCCCAGGGCTATAATTTGAACAATATTGGTAGAGGTCTACCAGACAATGCCTTATGCAAAATATCTAAGCTCTAGGCCTATGGGTCTTTACAAAAAGGTATTTTAAGTTTTTACTATATGTACATATAGTGAAAATCAATGACCCCCGGGGCGGGGCCGATTTTGACCCCAGGGCTATAATTTGAACAATCTTGGTAGAGGTCTACCAGACAATGCCTTATGCAAAATATCTAAGCTCTAGGCCTTTTGGGTCTTTACAAGAAGATTTTTTAAATTTATTCTTATAATTCCTTTTGGTTGCCATGGCAACCAGATTTCTGCATGGAATTAAATTCTTTGAACAACTTTGGAAGCCCTTCACCCAAGGATCAATCCTGCCAAGTTTGGTTGCAATTGGACTTGTGGTTTTTCACAAGAAGATTTTTTAAGTTCACTATATAATCTATATAACACACACACACACAAACAAACACACACACACACAGGTGAATCGCTATATGCCACCGCATCGCAGATGCTGCGGTGGCATAAAAAACCCTGTGGTTTTCTGATGGGGGAAAATATAGCATGATGAATCAGAAAAGGGGAAAATCAAATTCCAACAACTGAGAATGGAATTTACCCACACATTTTATAAAAGTTTCAATTTCAATTCAATTTAAAATGCATAGTATATAGGGACAGCTTTCTGTCTTCTAGCTAATATGATAAGTCAGATGCTGTTAAGTCATGGTTCTGGTGAAGAAGTGCACAGGGCATTTCAATGGAAAATATTAGCTCTTTAATGGGAAAATATACCTATTTTGAGCTAGGGGAAACAGCCTTTATTCAGCTGCAAAATATAGGGAAAAAAATCACTGGACTACTACATATAAATAAGCCTAATAAACTATAGATTGTTACCTCATATCTGATTTCTAGATATTCCGACTCTGCTGGTACATCTGTTATTTCGAATGCATAATTCTTCGAGGTTGGCTGTAACAAAATATTTACATTATAATATTACTAATTTATAAATGAAGAAAGAACTAAGACTTTCATGTTAGAACCACTACTGTTACAAATGACTTAATATTCCTGACAAAAGATTTGGAAAAAACATTGACAGGGGCAAGTTTTGACACACATTGCTAAGTAGTCAGAAGGGATTGTAAAGTGTGTCTATAACCTTGTAGCTTCCTACACAATCACACTAAAATAAATTCTGTATAAACTAAAAGATTTGTTTCAGACAGGTTCCTTCATGTGTAGATAACCATTCTAATTTATTCAAAAAATGCTACAAAGACCATAATTACACATTAAAGATTCAACAATTCATGTGTATTTACCTTTGATTTAAATTTCCCAATTTTATATCTGTTGACAATTTTTTCACTGAATTCTGTGTATACATCCACCATTCCCACCTCAAAACCTGTATCTGTGTTTGTTTTCATACACATCCTCTGTAATATACAATCAATGATTATCCTGTAATATTTCACAAAACTTTTAAAACTGAAATCTTTTGAATGCAGTGTTTTAAAATTCATAGAAAGTCATGTTCATTAGTATTTATGTCAATTTAGCATGAAATGGGTTAAAACTGGCAGAACAAATGAAAGCTATAAACATGTATGAATCACAAAGCCTTGACTTATCATATGCACCTCCAATGGATACATGTTTTTGTATTATAGCATAACCCTCAACCTAAGGAAACTTCTGGCAATGATGCAAAACGTCATTTCAAAATGGTCATTACTTTCCTCAACTCTCAGCATGCTAGAAGCAACTTGATTTTACCCATGCAGGGTTTCAGTTTTATGTGAGGTAACAGCTAAGCCAACAAAAATAAATGAATTGGCCAAAGGTCAAGAGAGATATTTTCATCTACTTGCTGAAAATACAACAGATTTTAACAGCATTTCAACTGATGATTATGAACACCCTGTAATTGCTATGATACCAGTGCAGACCATGATAGACTGGCACTTCAATGCAGTCTGATGGCCTGCACTGTTTGCAATTCAAATTCAGACAATTAAAATTAGGAAAATTTCCCTAAAAATGATAATGGATTTGTCCAAATTGAAAGATGGACAAATCAATTTAAGATATTTAGCATGGTAAGGATAAAACATAAATAAATTAGTCCTCAACTTACTGTAGGTCTGGGCAATATGAAAAGTCGTTTCTCAATGTTTTTAACTGTCACACAACAGCTTACATGAATTTTGGCCTCTTCTACCCAAACCTTTCCAAACAAATGTACAATTCCTGAAAATATTGAAAATGCAAACATTGTAACCATTTTACCAAAACAGGCTAGCATAAAAACATCAATGAAAATATATCAATTAAGACATAAGAAGACAACAACTTAAGCAGTACTTCAAGCTTCTGTAAGAACATTTAAATTGCAATTCTCTTCAACTAACTGTGAAAAACATGTCTGTATGTATTGCTGAAGAGTTGAAAATGTATAATTATTGACATAATCCTTGTCTAAATGTATCACAACCTAACTGTTTACTCCTCGAAGACGACTTACCTGTTTAGTTGGGTATTAAGTATAAACCAAATAATTTTAAGGTACATTTGGATTTAGTATAAATAATATTTGGACAATTTTCATTAAGTTTTAATCATACAGACACTTTAATGCCATATGTGCACTATTTAAGACACAAATGTAATCTGAGTCGAGCTCAAGACCTGTAACCTTACATAGTAAGATTCTTTACAATCAACCTGAACATTTTAAATTTAACTAACCTGGGTGTCTATACTGGTCCTCGTATGCATCGAGCCAATAGAATCGAAGCACCTGTTCCCCATTTTCCTTGGTAATCATAGGAATCTGTGAAGTATCAACTTGAATGTCAGTCTGACTGGCTGAACTGTTGTCCTGGAAACTATCCCATCCAGTTGTCACTGACTCAATAGACCTAATAATCAAATCATGATGGGTTTCAGTAAACAAAAAATTTCAGACTTTCTCCAAAATAGACTGTAAAAGTAGTAACATATCATATTACACTTTCTGAATACATTGCAGATACTGTTATGCCATATAAAATCCTTCATACTTTATTACAACAAAAAGACCCAAAGTTCCTGTACATCAATCATGACACTAACACGTGGCAACAATGGTTGAAAAGGAGGCATCTGTGACTGAGTCATTGACTTTGAACAATTTGCCTTTTACTGCTGTGGGTTTGAATCCCTCTGGAAATTGGATTCTTTTTTCATGTGAGGAAGATATCTAGCTACATGTAGCTTTTGTAATATTTATAGTTCTACTCAGGTGCCTGCTTGTTCCAGAAATAATGCATGGAAATCTTCCTCAACTAGTAATCTGATGACATAAGCAGTGACGACTTAAAAGCCAACAAAACAAACCATGGCCCAACAACAAACCTTTCTTGAGTCATTACTTCTACACATTAAAGATTTCTACCTACAACATTGAATGCAACAAAATGATTTTAAACCAGCGTCAAAAACTACATTTTTTCTTTTTCTTTCAATGAAATTTAACAATAGATAATTACATCTTTTCAGCTTTCACTTTGATATTGGTCATTGGCTCCTGTTTAATTCCTGGTTCCTGCTTTATGAGTCCTGGTTCCTGCTTGATAATGCCTGGTTCCAGCTTAACTTTGACTGGTTTAACATCTGACATCTCTTCTTCATTAAAGTCATCATCCTGAAACTCCATCCCACTCAAATCTTGAAAAAGAAAAAGAAAAAAAAATTTACTGATTTTTTTTTTGAAATGCTTTTCCAATATTAAAAACATGATAAATAGCTTAACTTCTAGTTATTTTGTGTGCTGCAAGTTAAAAGATACTTACTATAGATTCATTTAATATAACATCCAATATCAAGCGAAAAAAATTATTATACTTTAATAATTATATGAGCCTCTGTGATTTTTTTTGTTGGGTCTACTGGTAAAAAGATAACTTAATATTTTCATTCATTCCACAAGTGATGTACAAATACCTTCAAAATTTTCCTCAATATTTTCTTTCTCATCTCCCACCACAGGACTTGGCTGACTATCGTACTCCTCAATCTGTGGTGATTCATCCATAGGCTCTTGCTTTATAACTGGCTTTGGTAGGCCCTGTTGACGTTGAAACATTAATGTGTTAAAGTGATACTTGGTACCTTACATAGCAAAGTACAATCTACAATATATCAGTATGTTTACATTGATAAAGTTTAGGCAGTATTATTGCAGTTACAGCTACTTTTGAAGAACCGTTATAATCTCTTATTCAAAGTAGTTCAAAACTGCCTTGCTGATAATCATGTTTCTTTTAAAGATGGAATAGGCTACTTTTAAACACAACTTTAACTAATACCGATTTGCTTTTTCTCTCAAATTAAAACCAAATCCCAATTTGAACTAAGCTCATAAAAAACAATTTTCCTAAATTAGAACGTAGTCAATAAAGCCTTTTCCCTCATGTAAGCATTACTCAGACAAATTCATGAATTAATTTTTTTTGTTTTCTAAAGAAAATACTTGAATAAAATGAAGTAAACAACATATACCTTTACTTTAAAAGTGTTGTCACCACTAGATGTTGGTTTTGGTCCCATTTTTACTGGTCTTGTACTAAATGGCATATGTGGGGATCTAAAATAAATTAATATTAGAATATAAGTATGTCACAAATTAGTACAACTTGCTAAACTAGAACTATCACTAAATGTGATTAATACCCCCACAAGTCTGCTTCGGAAATGAGGATGTTACTAGTAACAGAATACCTTGTAAAAGAATTGAAACATAGAGTTATGGTTGTGGGCAATTAAAGATAATTGTGGTTCATGTATGTTGCATTTCCTTTCAATGTGGTTGGCCATTGATGAAGTTTAATTGAATTACTCTGTAATAAGTCCAGAAAGACAAAGAAAAAGAACAAAGGGCAATAACTCTATAAATACTGAAGATAGAGTTATAGTTCTTGTGCACTGCAATTCCTCTTATTGTGCTTGACCATTGTATGAAGTTGTTTTGAATTCCAACCAGTAGTTTTAAGTCATGCTCCAGACCAGGAAAAGTATCAAAGGGCAGTAACTCTGTATTTTGTCAAAATGGAGTTATGGCTCTTGTGCACTGCACTTCCTTTGAATGTCCTTGACAACTGTATGAAGTTGTACTGAATTCCAAACAGTAGTTTTCAAGTTATGCTCTGGACAAGGAAAAGTAACAAAGGGCAATAACTCTGTAATTAGTCAAGATGGAGTTATGGTTCTTGTGCACTGCACTTCCCCTTATTGTGCTTGACCATTGTATGAAGTTGTTTTGAATTCCAACCAGTAGTTTTCAAGTCATGCTCTGAACAAGGAAAAGTAACAAAGGACAGTAACTCTGTAATTAGTCAAGATGGAGTTATGGTTCTTATGCACTGCACTTCCTCTCAATGTGCTTGACCATTGTATGAAGTTATAATGAATTCCAACAATAAGTCTTCAAGTTATGGTCCGGACAAAAGAAAGCAATGGAAAAGTAACAAAGGGCAATAACTCTGTAATAAGTCAAAATGGAGTTATGGTTCTTGTGCACTGCACTTCCTCTCAATGTGCTGGACCATTGTATGAAGTTATATTGAATTCCAACCATTAGTCTTCAAGTAATGCTCCGGACAAAAAAAAGAAGGCAATTGAAAAGCAACAAAGGGCAATAACTCTGTAATTACTTTAGATAGAGTTATGGTTCTTGTGCACTGCACATCCCCTTATTGTGTTTGACAATTGTATGAAGTTGTTTTGAATTCCAACCAGTAGTTTTCAAGTTATGCCACGGACAAGGAAAAGTAACAAAGGGCAATAACTCTGTAATTAGTCAAGATAGAGTTATGTTTCTTACGCACTGCACTTCCTCTCAATGTGCTTGAACCATTGTATGTAGTTATATTGAATTCCAACCATTAGTCCTTCAAGTTATGCTCCGGACAAGGAAAATGCAACGGACAAAAAAAAAAAGCAATGGAAAAGCAACAAAGGGCAATAACTCTGTAATTACTTTAGATAGAGTTATGGTTCTTGTGCACTGCACTTCCCCTTATTGTGTTTGACAATTGTATTAAGTTGTTTTGAATTCCAACCAGTAGTTTTCAAGTTATGCCCCTGACAAGGAAAAGTAACAAAGGGCAATAACTCTGTAATTAGTCAAGATAGAGTTATGGTTCTTGTGCACTGCACTTCCTCTCAATGTGCTTGACCATTGTATGTAGTTATATTGAATTCCAACCATTAGTTTTCAAGTTATGCTCCGGACAAGGAAAATGCAACAGACGTCTGGACCGACCGACCGACCACCGGGTGACTCCTATATACCCCCCCAAACTTCGTTTTTGGGGGTATAAAAATGTTATCCATGTAAACATTTTATTCTCATCTCTGTTGTATATTAAAGTAATGAAAAAAGCAATATATGCACAACAATTCTGTGATTTTCCCCTTTATGTAAAATGGGCCTATAGAAGGCCTCTTCCCAATGAAAATTTTCATTGAAATCATGCTGTTTTTCCAAAAAGATAAACTTACACCAGCTATTTCACTTCCAAAATTATCAACTTTAGCTATAGTTTTTTTTCCAAAACTCAAGAAGCTTAGGTCTTTTCCCACCTCCACTGGCAGCATGTGCAAATTAGAACTTATGACTGAAATTATGATTATCACTTGTCCTTCTGCACAGACAGTTCTCTGAATTCTTAATTTTGGTCTTAAAACAATATCAATCAACCCTTACACAACTAAATTTGCATAATGGACTTGACAAGTTTAAGATTTGGACCAGTTTATTGCAACATCAATATTTAATGGATTCAACATCCATATTCAATGCATTGCAACATCCATATTCAATGCATTTCAACATCCATATTCAATCAGACAATGGATTTCAAATATCTATAGAAGATTAAAACTGAGCAGCTAACACAGTTGTGCAGGCTGCCATGACTTATATCTGGTGACATTAGCACATCATAACTGCCAATAGCCTCAGATGTATTAAGTGTTTGATTATACCTTGCAGACTGTTGAACTAGTGGTCGTTTTGTAAGTTTTACAGGTTTAGGTATTGCTATTTCTGATGGTCCACTGTGCAGCTCATTCATCAAATCACCCAATAGTTCATCCCCTTTAAGACTGACATCTTTCTATAAAATGTACAGAATTTTAATACTTACAGAACATTGACAAAATAACACTGAAAACACAAATCACAAAATAAATATTTCATGTTCACTAATTAACAAATAACGCTGCAGTTTATAGATATTTCAGAAATAAGGGTAAATATACACTTTCTGGAAAGGGAATGGGTCCAAATTTCAGCCTCATCTTAGCCCTATCAATGTTCTGTTTTCCCACTGACATTCTCACAACTTAGTATCATTCAACTCTACAAATTTCAGCCAAAGATAAGTGAAGGCATTCTCAAAGACAAGGAAGATTTTTTCGTATTGATTGAACAAGGATTTTTATTGTCATTGTGAACCTGACCTTGCAACCTCAAAATCAAAGGGTTAATCTACTAGCCTTGGCCAATGTCCGACCAAGTGTCATATATCAATGCTTATTCCTTCTCAAATTACCCAAAAGATAAGTATTTCACACTTATCACTTTGACCTCTAACTCAAAATTAATAGGGGTCATCTACTGGCTATCACTAACCTTCCTCTTAGGTATTTTAACAACAGCTTGAAAGTAAAACAAGAGCCTGATTAATCATTACATGTAAAATTTTTATGACAGGCTGTATTTTTGTCAAAATCCAAATTAAAAGTAACAGGCCTTAGATAGTGACATATTATTCTCTAAAATAGGTGTGTGAAGTTTCAACCCATTCCCAAGAGTAGTTAGGTGGAGATACCAACTCTTGCACTCGAAAAACTTAACAAAAGTGCGACACTGTCACCTTGGTGAGTACAACAACTCTCCCTATTCTTCGAATAGTCGAGCTAAAAAAATGCCTGCAATTAAAGTTACCTCTGGCTTCCTCTTGCCTGTAGCTGCCTGTGCCATAAACATTGACTTAATATTTTGTTTTGGTTTTGATCCAGGTCTCATTATATTGGGATTCTTTTTCTTCTTGTCTTCCTTTTTCTCTATAAATTAAATACAAAATACATAATGTCACCATAAACACTAAGAATATCATCCTCCTATGAGGAAAAGTATGAAAATTTATTTATAGCCTCAGCCAATTTTACTGGTCAAATACTTTATGTCATATATATGGTTCACATTTGTCTTTTGAATGATAAATCCTTTATATCATAAATGATAAATCATTTTTCTCATGAATAATAAATCCTTTATCTCAGACATGTTATGAGTAGTTTTATATATAAGATTGTAAACAGGGAATTTTTTTCCAGGATTTTGGGAACATGACCCATAAACATGGAATTGGGAATTTCAGCAATGTTTTGTTAAAAAATGGGAAAAATGCACGACTGAAATTTTGATCAAATGGATGCAAACTTACTGTCTATGATGGTATCTTCAAAGATTTAAGCACTATTACAGTGAAGAAGCCTTTATTTGCAAAGATTTTAGAATTCGTATTCAATATTTTTATTTTTCAACTTTCAATTGGGATTTTTTTCCTGTGGATAAGGAAAATAATATACTATTTTCAGTTGGGAATCTGGCCCAATAATGGCTATAAAATAAGCCAAAAAAAATCCATGGTCAACTATGATAAACAAGCAAAACTAAGCACAATATTCTCTTTTTTTACTCACTATCTGGTTTAGCAAACTGGTCATCTGCCAGTTCCTCATCAAATATTTCCCTTCCATCCTCAACATAACCGCTCCCATCTACAAAACATAACTGAGTGGGATTAAAGAGTTACATGCATTATTTACCTTTGAAACTACTGAAGGTATTCAGTTGAAACTTGATAAATGTCATTAGAATCATATAAGGAGGTCCCTAGGAGCACCATACTAAATACCATATTCAAATATGTATATCAAATGAAGGTCTTTTTTCCTCTTTTAAGTTACCCTGACAGTTACAAAGAAGCATCTTAATTACTGGTAGCAAGTTTTTGGCATTACATTTATCATGTTGGTGGCAGCCACAAAAAATCCATCAGAAATACAATACACATGTTCATATACTATAGTTTCACTAAGTTTTTTTTCCATCATTCAAAAACTTGATTTGTTCTAATAACAATATATTCTTCGGGATTAATTGGCCTAAAGCATATGATAGGACTGCCAAAATGTATTTTATCTCACCATCATCAACTATCCAATCCTCTTCCTGACGTTGTCGGACAATTTTTGAATATTCCTCTTCGTCCACCATCTGATATACATCATCTTCTTCATCTTTCTATCAAACAATACAGATAATAATTATCCAGTAAATAAACATCATGTTCAACAAGCAACAATGATACTACTGTCTAAACATTTTAATTTTGCTGGTTTGAAATCACAAATTATTATTTTTAATATAGAAATGCTAAAATAGAGCTGGCAATAGCATAAAGAATGGCAAGATTGCGCTGGACAGGATGGTTTGTCTCTATGCCAATTTTAATATGAATAAGGCAAAGCCTCAAAGCGAGCTCTTTGACATAAATTATAGTACATTATAATTTAAACCCATTGGCGGCTATTACATGTTTTATGTTTTCAATACACACAGCTGCACACTTTCGGCCGCACTAAACACAACCACACACCTTATACCGCCATTTCATGTTTTATATGATATCTAAATTGAATCCACTCGCCAGAAAACATAGATGGGAACCATAATTGGACAGGGAACCAGATTATAGTTCAGGTATTGAATATGAAATAAGGCAAAGTCTATAATATTTTGTTCAGTTGTGTACTTCTTGCATGGCTTGCCATTATAGTCATACAAAAAACGACTTTATTCAGTAAATAAAAAAATACTTAAATCATATTTCAGGAAAAATTTATTAGTGCAATCAATTATCCATCTAACATACTGAAATACATGCCCTTGTTATACTTACATCATACTTGTTTTTTCCGCCTTTAGACTTTACTTCCTTTAGTCTTGCTAAGGCTGCTAGTTTACCACCCTTGTCTCTCTTTTCCCTTCTTGAACGGCCTTGTGCTAAGGATACTGAAAAGAGTGAAAAACACCACATTTTATTCTGTTCATAAAAATTATTAAGAATTTTGATCTTTTCTTTTCCCTGTCGAGGCATATTTGTACTGCTAACATTTTACATAGTTTATCCATGTTCCACAGAATATCTTGTTTTTATCAGCCTATTTCAGAGACCGTTTGACGAAACAGTAGAAAGATTATCTTTCATGAAATTTTAAAGTTCTTTATAATTTCAGTGATCATTAGCACAGTCGGCTAGAACCTTGCGTTGCAGAAGGCTTTATGGTTTTCATTAGTAAGTGATTCATTATGTTACTATATAGAAATTTTTAGTAAACAGGGAGGATGTGTAAGGGGTCGATACAGCTGTTATAACCAGGGCTGAAACATCTTCTCTAGTAGGTCAAAAGACAAAGACTGAAATGTCCAGGTGTAACATCCAAATACTGGTACCACAGGAACTTGGCAGTGTTAGGATAGTGAAAAAAGTAATTATAGGGGAAAAAAAATATACTGGCAGGACCAAAACACCATTTTTGGGGAAGAGGCCTCAGCTTTTTTCTTGGGGAAAATATGCATGATTTTGGCATACACATGTACTTTGGGAAAAGAGGTCTCAAATTTAACACAAACTTTTAACAAGTTCTTTAAAATAGAAAAGCAAAAGCACTGGGAAATACTTATAACAGGCTTCGCGAAACTGCTGAAACATTTGCCTGACATTCGGTCAGACAAACTTTCAATTCTTGTCTGACCGAAAGAACTTTTGTCTGACCGATTTTTTTCCCAAAATATATGTATATATCTAATACCTTTGTGTTTTTTTCAAGACATAGGAACTTTTAAAGATTTGCAACACAATTTTATTCTCTTAAATAAAACATCAGTTTATCCAGATTGATGGACTCTGTCTGGAAATTTAAACATTCACGATCAAAATCATCATCATCATCATATTATGATCTTTATAAAATTTATGACACAATGTACATTTCATCTTATTTTCTTCCTCGTTAATAACCAACGAGCGGCCATTTTTCCATTTACCAACAAATTTTCTCGGCAGGCGACTGGACTCGTATTTCTTTTGTTTCGCTTTTTTCCTTCATTAGATAATTTACGTCTTTTGCCTGGCGTAGCGCCAACGTAATAATTTAATAATGCAGTAACACCGACATTTTCTTCCGAGTACAAGATCATCGAAAGTTGTATCTAGAATTTGATTGGACACTTAAAATGAAATGGCGAATCAAAACTCGTTTTACATTTTTTTATTCAAGGGAGAAAACTCGGTCTTGATCGGTCTTGGATATATCCCGGTATTCGTACCGGACATAAGGTCCGGAACTCGGAAAAAAATATCGGACCGGCCTGATTTTTGTCGGACATGTCCGACGGTCAGGCAACTTTCGCGAAGCCTGTTATAACAGAATAAGGCAGTAAAAGACCTTAATTCAAAACCATCATTCAATTTTGTTCTAAATTCTATGGGAAATTTCAAAAGACTGGGGAAATTTGAGGACCAAACTGGGGTAAAAATAGACTAGTTTGGTTGGGGAAGCAGTCTATATTCGGCCTCTAAAAAGAAGGGTTTTTTTTGGCCCTGACTGGTTGAACATGCCAAATCAGGTGAATGTCATAAGGCCAGTAGGCAGTACAGGGATCAAAAATTCAAATTTCTACTTGCCCTGCATTTTTGCTTCGATTTTCAAGATAAACTTTGCCGATACAATAGTACCTCGCCAATGCAAAAGACCGCTAAAAAATTTTCATGATAAATTTCTTTACATAAATTTAAGGAACCATAGCCAGACACAAAGCATGCGTTTTAGGTTATATATAAATCACACACTTTACAGGGCATTGTCAGGCACATTCCAGTCACACCCATATCCAATTAACAGTGTGTTCAGAGCTTTATAAGTGCGCAAATTATACATAACCTAAAACGAAAGCTTTGTTTCCAGTTTTCCATTGTTAAATCATAAATGTTAACAAAATGATTTTGAGAATTCTAGCTTTCTATTACATCGGCAAATTTCCAGTCATCCTGCTGGATGAGCATTCAAGGTTTTTGTACTCGTCCTCCTTTTGTCTACTAGTAAATACAGCAGACAAGTGGAATTTTCAATCTCTGCAGGGTAAGTCAAAGTTGCAAAGTCATTTTTCATCATTGAATGTCATTGTTTGGAATTGCATAAACTTTTACACATAGAAAATCAAGTGGGTTTTTTGGAATTGCGTTTGGACAAGTAGAAAAGCCAATTGGGACTGGTTGCACAGTTGTGTCCAACCTAGCAAAAATACAATATTCATATTGGTTCTAGGACAAACAGTACTTTACTTTACTTTACTTTATCCAGCGTAGGGTCGCGAGATCAGAAATCTCTTATAACCCCCTCGAGGTCTGACACCCAATGATTATTATCCGGTATAACAGTATATAATTTGTTTTTCATAACCTTATCGAGTCTGTTTTTTAGCGAATTCAGCGTTGGTGAACATACTACAGAATCTGGTAATTTATTCCACTCTGGTATTACTCTTAATGAGAAAAAATGTTTTCTTAATTCCTTTTTACATGATTTTATTTTCAACTTCATGGAATTTCCTCTGATGTGATGATTATCAAGTTGTGCTTTTTCAAAAAATACATTATAATCTATATCTTCCTTCCCATTTAATAATTTCCATGCTTGTATGATATCACCTCTAAATCTTCTGTAAGCCAAAGTAGGAATTTCCAGAATTTTTAATCTTTCTACATACGATAAATTTCTAATACATTTAACCATTTTTGTTGCTCTTTTTTGAACTCTTTCGATTGCTTCAATATCTTTTTTAAATCTTGGACTCCAAATAATATTTCCATATTCAAGGTGTGGTCTTATAAGAGTTTTATAAAGTTTCCGAAATTGCTTGATATTAACATGTAAGAAGGTATTTCTGGCCAATCCAGTTATTTTATTTGCTTTATTGATACAATTACTTATGTGATGTCGAAATTTCAAATCCTTATCATATAATATACCTAAATCTCTTTCTTCCTCACTAGACCTCAATTGTTTAGTTGTAAAGTCACTTTTCATAAAATATTGATGTTCCGTGTTATTGTGTCCATAATGAATAACACAGCATTTGTCTACATTAAATTGCATTAACCACTTTTCACTCCATTGTATTAAACTATCATTGTCCTTTTGTATTTGGTTAAAGTCTTCATTTACATTTGCCAGGTTAAATAATTTGGTGTCATCCGCAAAGAGACGCAAGGTACTTTTAATTTGACTTTCAATGTCATTAATGAATAGAACAACCTACTGTAAAATAATGCCTGAAATAAACATGATAAAGTCCTGTTGTTGTGGCCTCGGCTCTAAGCGCGAATTTTTGTTTACTTTAGTTATTACTGGAGACAGAGACATGTTCCTGTATCATATCACATTAAATTTCTTTTGTTTTCTAATATGCTACATTATATATCGCTACCATACCAAATGTATCGTTTGTCGTATCATCGCTGTCATTGTTTTCTTTCTCAGGTGCAGGCGCCATTCTTAAAATTCGCGGGAAAAACAAGGGAGACGACACTTTACTGACTTGTGATTCAGGCTATCTTCACAGACACTGCTGACCTGTAGAAGGAAAAACCCGTGTAATTGAGAAGGTTATAAAAAAATAATAATAATGAGAAATTATTTTCGTTAGGTTTGAATTATTATTTAATTTTGCATGCTGGAAAAGTCTAAATAATATTATAGATTAATATAGAGTAATATTTATATCAATAGATAGGGGAAATGTTTAAAGAGAGATATACAATGTATATAACATACAAGGAAAATGTAATAAATTGTGTAAAACTTTAATAAACTTTAAAAACAGGTTTCAGAGGAAAATGATGTTATGTTGACATTCAAAAGATCACCCCCCCCCCCCAAATGATGGAAAGTGTAAAATCTTTTCTAAAACCATGATAAATACAATGAAATGTATTTCCATTATCCGCCACTGTCTTCATAACATCAAAAAGTTTCAAAGCACATGAACGTAAAGAGCAAAATCCATATTGTGAACCATATTATTAATTTTCATCCATACATTTGAACAATTTTCAAAGTAATACGTTCCTCCACTATAGATGAAAATATAAATACAAGTATGCGAAAATAAGTTCCTGTTTACGAGATACATTGTAGCATTTTATGTTGATAGGAATGACCACGGATCTTAATTAATGTAATATAAATCCGTGGAATGACTTATAGTGCTTCAATTGATTGTACAAAAAGAATATATTGTATTTCTTTTTTATTCTATTATATCAATAATGTGCAAGTTGAATGTAAAAAGCTTTTAATGATAAACATACACATTTGTATATCTAAATTCCTTCAAAATCAATGAACATGTTTTCTAGTTTCTAAATGTAAATAAATGGATAGATTGAAAAAAAATCACATGTTTTATGAGAATTAATGCAATGCAACCGCTCTTACATCCATGCTTTTGTCCGATGCAAAACAGTTTCCCTTAACATGGAGACAACGTGTTTGCACATGTATGACTTAATTTAAGCCTGGCTGCACGATATTAAGTCTCGGTGAATTACCATCATAACATGAAATCTGAAAGTTCAACAGTCTATTACTTGGAGAAAGAAAACGTGCATTATCCTTCCATTTGACGAAAAGTTATATAAAAATGTTTTGCAACAAAGCAAGAAATTTAGAATGGGTCCCGAAGTGTAAGCTGTTGTATGTCAATTTTTTATATACATGTACTTGTACTTTTATTGGCAACTCTCAAAATATATCGGATGATTCCGTAGTAAATCATGCGTCTTATCATAAATCATAATCATCATCATGGTGATTTATCACAGAAATCTATTTAAAGTAACTGCTTTGCAGCCGTATAATTATAAGATCTAAATACATGTACGAAAATAAGATCTGTAAGAAAATAAGTGTAATACAAAAATAAGATATATACGAAAAGAAAATCTATATCAAATATATATGGTAATTGTATGATGTCACATTAGAACTAACACGTGCACGTGATTATCTGTAGCAATTAATATGCTCACACGATAATTGGATTACCACACTTTTCCTACTTGGCATGATACCCAAATATTAAAGCTAATCATTTAAAGGTGGTTTATTGCCGATTAATCACAGAGTCCTTATAAAAGTAATCTGATGGAACAGATGGTTTTTTTTTTTTTTTGGGGGGGGGGGAATAATAACTCAAACACGCATAATGATGTTAATTTATTTTCACAATGAATAATTTTTATTAACTATTGCTTAATCTACAATAAAAAAATATAATTCAATAAGTTAAATTTTTGTGGGCCATGAAAAAAGTTCCTCCTCGTGATGTGCCAGGTGTGGTATGGATGGAAGTGAATTTTGACCATCTGTAACTGAACGCTCTTCTGACTAAATATTATTGTTGGGAATAAGTTATAATCTCCTGTCAAAGTATAAAACAAGAATATGGAAGTAATTGAATTTCCGTGTGATAACGCTTTCCTTTAATTTCAATTTTCACATCTGCGCAGATCGGAACACACGTTCGAAAAGGTAGTATTCTTTTCAAAATATGCAGTGCACAGCTGACCATTCCAACCGTGCGTAAGACTTTCGTTCGCTTGAGTAACCGTTGCCCGTGTAGATAGTAAATACCGGAAATCAGCTGATTATGAAGTAAACAAAATTGTTTACATCTTTATCTTTGTTTTTATCGGAACGAACCGTCATCTCATGTAACTTGGGAAAAGAACAACAAAAGATTATTCAAAGTAGGTGCATTTCATATGAATTATTTCTAATGATCCTTTCTGTTGACATGTTGAAAACTGGCATGACATTCGGATATTTAACGTATCCGGATTTATTAATAAAGTATTTATAATTTTTATGAAATACAAAATATAAATGTATGAATGGAATTAATAAGATAATTGTAAAAAATAAACATTAATTTTAACTATTTAACAGCCGTGAAATCATGGTATGATTATGTTATAAAAGATAATATAAGCACTATTTAGGCCTTGTGCTTGGTAATTCTAGTCCAATATACAGTCAAAATATATTGACATGCCTAAGCTTGATTCTGAGATATTTTCGTTCTAGATTACCTTGACACGAAATGTAGCACAATATCTTGTCACACAGTAGAATTAGTTGGACTAGTCCAATATATATCGGACGTTACAGACTTGTTATATAGTTCATGTCGGTTGCTTTGCCCAGAAGCAAACACAGCACAAAGCGATGTAATATTTATAGCACTAGGGTAATTTAAAGAAAAATCATATTACGATAATAGACAGTCCAACTTTTTTAACTTTACTTTGAGATATTGTGAAATTTTGTGTATACATGGGCATATTGCAAAAAGAAAATCATACATATAATACATGCCTTATTATGATTTTAATTAAACCCTATAAAGAGAGAAAGTAAAGAAAAATTAAAAAAGCAATAATACAAGTATGTATGGAATTGATGGAAAATAATAAAGAAAAAAATAGGGAAAAGAGGTATTTGCAGATGTTTCTACATAAAATTAATGTATCATTTACAATATTTCAGTAAGAACTTCATGTATGAAAAAAGTGAACAAATCATGCATGACAACTAGTATGTTACATGTTAGGATCATTTAGTATCTCTTATAAATTTGTGAACAGCGCCAAAAATAGCAGTGTTGGAGTCAGCAAGTAAAACAGGGTCTCCATAAAGAATTATATACATAGTTGGAGTGCAAAAGTTGGAATGAGTGTTCAGTAGATTGGGACGTAAATGAACATATTTTGCACAAATAAAGAAGAAATGATACGCATTTTCAACTTCCCCACAATCACACAGTGAAGACTCGGCAATATTCTTGTTGAATAAATCAGATGCAAGAGAGCTACATTAGGTTCAAAGTCTGGTATGCATTATTTGTTCTTTTCGCTCACCGTAGTAAAAAGTTTGGCATATTCACTGTTACTTCACTTTTAAGACTGCGCTTTAAAAAAGCGACAAGCGTAGGAGCATTTGAAAACTGTATTGATATATAACAGTGCAGTTTTTTATTGATTCATATAGAGACAAAAATCTACTAATAAATAACAGTTGAATTTCTTTTCACCTTGTATATATTAGTGTACAGGCCTGGGCGAATTCACTTGCCCGCTAGCATTTGCTAGTGAAAGTGCAGGTCAGGTTATGTTGAATATTATATTATAAGAATAAAAAGTATCATAAACATTATTAAACAATATGTAATATTAAAGCCAATTATACCGATATAGACCGGTAATTAGTAAATTTGAGTCTTAAGTTTGATTTTTACACAATTTGTCCGTCAAAATGCAGGGCGAGTACATTTTATGAAGGGCAAGTAAATTTGAAGGGTCACTCGCCCTAGAAAAATTTATCAAGGTTTGTAAAGTCTCTGTAAAGCCCACCACTGAGGTTTGAACATTTCACTCTGGACAGCCATTTATATCTATGTATAACTCCCTTCCAAAACAATCACTTCTAACCATAACTTGCAGTGTTTGTCTGAAAAATGTTAAAAATAATTATGTGCTGAATTAAAAGTTCACAGATAAAGGAGTGTACGGTTAAAGATAAAAACATAGTTTAACATACTAAGGGGGTACAAGGGAGAAGCTGACACTAGCCAATCCTTAAAGATAAGTAAAAATTCAGCTTAGCTTATTTACCCTGCTATCCCCGCCCATTTCTGGGTACAGATGGGCCATGGTTACAATTAATATTAAAATGTCTCACACTTTTCCTGATATTGATATTTTTTTGAGAAGTGAAGATCCTTCAAAAAAAAAAATTATAATGAGGATTCGAGGGGAGACAGTTTTAAAAGGGACACAGATGTGTTCTCTTTTTTTCAAGGTATCAAAAGGTACATTCTATTGGTGTTTTAAAGTCTTGGAACAGACATGTTGTCCCTGCTATGATGATAAAGGCATTAGGCTGGGATTTTTACCATTGGACTATTACCATGGTCTACGTTATTTATTGCCAGAATTTTCATTTTGAAAAGAATTAACAAAACCATCCATATTAACGAATTACACTTCCAAATTTTAGGCAGAACCAGCGCTCGATCTGCCATTAGCCTATTTTAGCCATTTGCTAAAAAAATTTTATATATTGGCTTTAAAAACTATAAATCAGCTACAGAATTTCTTGCCCATGCTATCCTATTTTGATATCATTTTGAACAATTGAAGAAAATTACAGAAATTCAGCTAAAAGAAATTTATGACCAAGGTAAGTCCTGAAGGAGAATATTATACAAATTTAGTAGCACAAGAGTTGATGAACATTGTATACGTGTATCACCATCTGTCTTCAAATGTTGACATTACTGTACAGTTTTAACTTATGATGTCATTTATACTCAGATTTTAAACTGATAAACTTATGCATGTTATATAATATATTATAAAAACTGATTCAAATCTTTAAGAAGGAATGCATTGACTGAAAATATGGCCCAAAGGGTCTAAAGTAATACAATCTTGACCAGACTTAGTTTACCTCCTTCAAACATAAAGCAGCACACCTCCAGATTCATATTAATTTTCATGAAAATT